AGTAATTGGCAAGTACTGGGAGTTGGCTACACCTTCCCCCTGCACGCCCATTTTCCTTAGAAAAACGGTGCACCTCACTACTTGATTTGCAATTGCAGCAGACCGGGGTTTAAACTGGTGTTGCTGTCATGCCTCGTTTGAACCTCACGAGCTCTTGCTTCCAGAGTACGGCGAGTGTAAAAGCCCCAGGAACAGAGCGGGCACAGGAGCTCGCTTTCCGTTGTCGAGCCCCTCGGGGGCCATCATTCTGAATTTAAGATGGCTGGAGAGAGCCGTGACAGATTGCACAGCGCCACAGGACACGGACCCGACCAGGCAGCGTGACAGTCTTAACTACCACAGAAAGATGGAGGGGAGAGAAGCGCAGAGCTACGTCTGGGCTCTTAATTATAGGCTTGCGACAAAATTCACAAAAGCTCGTGCTGAAATAAACGCCGCTGATCTTTAAGATGCCGCTGGACTTTTGTTTCATTCTGCTAAACGAGACTAACAGGGCCAACCCTTCTGCAACTGCTAATGGCCTGTCAGGCTTCTCATCCTTCACAAAAAGCCTTCGGTTGCACAGAAGGGGGGCAGGGTTCAGCACTGCACCCCACGTGCCCGAGTTAGGAAACCTGAACGATTCAAGCTGTCCTTTGGGTGCACACCTTGGAACTCTACCATTTAAACATACTCAGGTTTTGAACGACCCCCACCAGCACCCTACAAAATTAGGCTTCCAGCAGACTACGAAGCCGCATCCTATAAATGAAAGGTCCCCACCCCCCCCACCCCCCACCAGCTCAGAATATCAGCTACAGTTCTTTTTATTCTTTATTCTGAAAGGCTTACCGTTGCTGTAGGCGTAGGGCGATTCCGATGCTCCATCCTGAAGGCTCTCCAGGATTTCTCCCTTGCCCACGTCACTGTCTCCCACCAACAAGAACTTGAGCAGGTAATCATAGCTCTTGACCGGGCTGCCCTGGGTCCCCATCCTCCCTCTCATTAGTGAAGAGGTGCAATCCGCATACTAAGCATACAGTCAAGGCTGAGAGTCGTACAGGAGGAGAGGAAACTTTCCGAGGCAATCTCTCGGGAGAATTAGGACAGTGTAAATCTTTCCAAAGGTGGGCAGGAAGCAGAGGACGACCGATTCTTATCACAGCAGGCCTTCCATCCTTTGAAAGTAATCTTCTGTCGAAATACGCTAGGATCCTGAAGGGGAAAGGAAAGGAAAAAATAGCCTTTGTTTCTGCAAGCTCCTTCTACATGATCAGGAAGAAAATTCAGAGTTTAAATTCTCTCAGCTGCCACACACCCAGGGCTAGCCAACGGCTGTACCTTTATTTACATGCGTGCACAGAGTAACCAACCCTTGGGGTGGGGGAGGCATAAGACCAGTGACTGCAGAAGCGCTCACGTAAGTCTACCCTTCACCTAGCTCACCTAGCCTGAAAGGACTGGCCTCTCCAATATAAACACATACAGTAAGTCCGGCTGAATGCAAGCATAGCCACTCCCCGGTCAAGGCAAAGATCAGTCCCAGATCAAAGAACTGGACTCCACCTGCACTGCAACGCTGCAGTTTTTGTACACAAAAATTGCTACCTTCTGACATACTCTTTCAAAAACCCCTTCCTCGGTCCATGGGCTCATCTCTCTTGAGAACCTTGACTGAAGCACATATGTTAAGTAAAAGGGATTATATCTACCAGATTTAATTTCCTAGATCAATAAAGTGGCTAATTAGAATTCTGAAGACATCAACACAATATTAATTTCCTCACTCCACCCAACCTTTATTCTCTTCCTCCACTGAACGCAGAACAGCATACCTCTGGAAAAAGTGGGTATTCAGAGGGCAGCAGATTTCCATTAATCAAATCTTAACAGACTTCCCTCACCCTTTTTGTATTTGCAAACAGGGCAGTTAGCAAAGCAGTCTGAAGGTGACTTGTGCCTAGCCTTTCAGGGCAGGTTTATGAGAGTTGCAATAGCTGAATGTGATTATAATCTTGCTAACACAAAAACAAAAGGTGGCTCAGGATTAACAAGGAGGAAAAGAGTATGATGTGACATGCGTCATGCAAGGGAGAGGATCCAGAAAAGGATCCAGAAACAGGGGGGAAGCAATCAGTCACATGAAAGAAGTCAGCAATGCTACAAAGCTACAACAAATTGAGGGGGGGGGGGGTATTGATATGGACCTAGACTGCTGATTACCACAGAACATGCTTCAGAGCCAAGCATCAGGAAAAGAAAAGAGCAGAAAGACAGAACGCTTAGGGGAGTTAATGGAAGATGCTGTCAATATGCCTTTATAGCCACCTCTTTCTAATCAAACCTTAACTGTCCACACGCAATTATAAGCAAGATGGGAATTCTGATCAACACTGCTATTTGTCAGTATGAATCTACGAGTGCAGTCTAGTGTTCAGAGAGTCAAGGAATAAACACATCTAAGATAAGGGTCTAAAAGAAGTAGTTCGGGAGGGCCGTTACATAAATTAGGTTAAACAATGCCTGACCCTAAGTACCGGGGCAATAAGGGAGCTAAGACAAACAAATGGAGGGGGGGGGGCACATAAGAAAGGCAAATTAAATAAGATTTGGGGGGGGGGGTCAGGAAGAAGGCTGATATTACAGTCCCCCTTCCTAAGGGCAGATTCACTCCCACACACAATCTTCACTTGACAGCGGCAACGTGAGGCTAGGACGTGCATGTCTGTAAAAGCCCCAGAGGATCACAACAACCCCTCTAACAGAAGGTTAAGGGGGGGGGGGGGGTTCCCACAGCATCTCAAGCAGCTTGATCAGAGAAAAGACTCCCCACATCTAGGTCGGGGACTCAGTTGTTATTTTTCATCAAGTGTAGAGGGAGATTCCACCCCAACATACATAAGACAAATTCAGCTATCCTGACAAAAATGTGCGCGCACATATGTATAATTTCAAAAATCCCCTCTAACACAGTATTTTTGGAAGAGAACAAACAGGAGACCATTAAGACCCATGTTCACAGCCCACCAGTTTTGGTGGGGGAGTCATTTTGACACCCACCACATTTCCCTTCAAGCATGCGTGCGGGTGGGGAGGGGTGTTGAGTCATGCTGAGCTACCCCAGCAAAAATACAAACAAAATTTGTAGGCATGCATATTTAACACATACCTTACATTCTGCATAAACGAAAACAGATATAACACTTTCGTAATTATACAATATGAGTCTGTGTACATGAATCACGCATATATAGGTGCATAATTCATGTATGCCGAGGGCAACATGGTACTGCATGAATGTGCATGTATATATTTTCACACACACATATATGCATAATTTATACATGTGGAATTATATAGTGATTTAAAATGTCAACCGCATTACATATCAAATCTATTAGATGAACATATGTTTTACATCACACTATTTATCACCAAATGGCCAAAGACCACAGAACCTACACACATTTTAAGCCCCGTTCAAATATATGTGCACGCATCCTTAATAGGCACCAAATATATAGTCAGTGTTCCCTCTAAGCTGAGTGAGTGTGAGCTAGCTCACAGTTTTTTAGCCTCCGGCTCACAGATTTTTGCCTTAGCTCAGGAAGGATGCGGCTCCAGAGCAAACTGATTTATGCAGTAGCCAAAATGCTTGCTCCCAACTTTAATGCCAGTGGCTCACAAAGTAGAATTTTTGCTCACAGGACTCCACAGCTCAGAGGGAGCATTGGTGAGAAGAACTATGGATACTTGCTTTTAAAACATACTACGTTTTAAAGTTCATATATATTATATATATATTTATACACACACACACACACACACACACATACATGAACTTTATATAGTAAAGGTAAAGGTTCCCTTGCTTGAAAGCCAGTCGAGTCTGACTGTAGGGTTGTGGTGCTCATTTTCGTTAGATGTTTCCGTGGTCATATGGCCGGCATATATATCATAAATATATGTAAACGGCATATATATCATAAATATATATAAATCATATCTATATCTATCTATATATATGTATATATATGTGTGCGTGTGTGTGTATATGTATACATATACACACACATATATATGATATATATGCCGGCCACATGACCACGGAAACGTCTTCGGACAGCGCTGGCTCTTCGGCTTTGAAACGGAGATGAGCACCGCGACCCTATATACACACACACGCATACATTTTTGCACGCGTAACACCCGCACACGCACTCGCGTGAAGGCCACCCAGGCAAATGGCGCATTCCTCTCCCTGACACGCATGATGCACGTGTGAATCGCCCCCCTTCCCTCCCACAAACCTACGGGTAGGTTAAAAGCCGAGATGGGGCGGGAAATGGGGGCGGCGTCAGAATCCCAATTGTGAGCTAAAACCCGACGACGTCTCACCGAGTCCCACCGTGCTTGAGTCGCGCGGCGCCGCTGCGGGGAACCGACCTCTGGAGCGCTGCGTCGCCGCCGCCGCCGCCGCCGCCGTCCGGGACTGGAGACTCCCGAGCGAGCCCCACAGGCCGCCTCCGCCTCCCCTTCCTCAGTCCCCCGCCCCGCCCCGCACGTGACGCGACGCCGCCCCATAGGCCGCCGCTCACGCCGCTCCGCGACGACGCCCGCCTCCCCCGCTCAGGGTCCTTCTTCGGTTGGCTGTGTCGGCCCACCCCCTCGCCCAATCACGAGCTAAGGAGAAGGGTGGGCGGTCACCCGAAAGTCCGCCTCCGTGAGGGGGGAACTACTCCTCCCAGCGTGCACCGCGCCGCGCCCCTACGCGCCCGGCCGCTTGGACGGCGGAGAGACGTCTGGGCGTTGTAGTGTGGGCGGTTCTGAGGGAGCGCGAGGTGCGAGGTCGGACCGTGGGTTTGGGGGAGGCCGTTGAGGGTTTGGGGGAGTCTGTCTCGCAGATACCTTGTGAGGGGGGGGGGGATTAAAAATCCTTTTTTGGCTCCCTCAAAATGGGAGACTTGCGGGCTGACACTCCCACGCTGGGGCCTCGGATGGAACGGGCTGCTGCTTGACGCCGCAATAAATCCGTCACTCTTACTAACGGCCGCCCTAAAGATGTTTACTTACTGAGGGCTCTTTTTGTGGCAGGACTCATTTGCATATTAGGCGACGCCCCCTCTAATGGAGCCAATCCTCCAAGAGCTTACAGTAGCCCCTGTCAGAAGAGCTCCGTAAGCGCTTGGAGGATTGGCTATATTGGGGGGGCGTCGCCTAATATGCAAAGGAGCCCCTGCTACAAAATGAGCCCGGCAAGCAGCAAATGCCCGGAGTCCGCTGCAACTGGGCGTGAGGTTGGCTGCTTGCAAAGCAAGCTTCGCTTGCTTACTCGGGAATCCGTCCCCCTGAGTTCAGTGGACTTTATCCCATGCAAATGAATTCAGGGTTGCATTCTCGCAGGGGCAGCCCCTATGCATGTCTGCTCAGAAGGAAGTCCCGAGAAATTCATTAGGTTTACCCCACCCCCTTGCGGAGGTGGGCACAGAGCTTTATTTATTATTTATGTTATTAAACTTATGAATCGCCCACCCTGCAAGCAGGCTCTGGGTGATTTAGGTAAAGGTAAAGGTTCCCTTGCTCGAAAGCCAGTCGAATCTGACTCTAGGATTGCGGTGCTCATCTCTGTTTCAAAGCCGAAGAGCCAGCGCTGTCCGAAGACATTTCCGTGGTCATGTGGTCATGACTAACCACTGTGACCTTCCCACCGAAGTGGTACCTATTTATCTACTTGCAATGTCTTGCTTTCGAACTGCTGGGTTGGCAGGAGCTGGAACTAGAGATGGGAGCTCACTCCGTCATGCGGCACACTCGAGTCTCGAACTGCTGAAGTACCGACCTTCCGCAGCCTGCAGTTCAGCGTCTTAACCACTTAAGCCGTCGCAGCTCCTCTGGGTGATTTACAACCTTGCAAAACATTGCTCTTACAGTACAATCCTATATCTGTTAACAAAGAAATTCCCACTCAGTTCAATGCACTCCCCCCAGCCCATGTGCATAGTTGCATTCTCTGAGTGCAATTGCAGGTATGTTTACTCAGAAGTAAGACCCCCCCCCCCCCCCCCCCCAAAAACAAGACCCCCCCCCCCCCCCGGAAAAAAACCATTTGGAACAGAACTTACTCTAAGTGTGCATAGGACTGCAGACTTATCCATTTATACCCCACTTTTCGCAACAGTGGGTACCCAAAGCGCCATTTTCTTCTCCATCTTATCCTCAGAATCAGGGGTCATTTCCTGCGGGAGCGCACAGGAGCGGAGCTCCGGCAGCAAAGAGCCCAGGGGGTGGGCATATGCAACAAGCCCCACCCCCTGCTCCCAGCAGCCCTTAGTCAGAGCAAGAAGCAGCCAGGTAAGTTGCAGAGCCCCCTCCGCCCCCCCCTGTCCAAAACAGTCCAGTGGCAGCTTTAAGACCCAGTCTTATTTAGGTACAAGCTCTCCCTCCTCTCCGAGGACAGATCTGCATGTTCCCCCCCCCCCAAATAGCTAGCAATCTAAAACAGTCCAGTGGAGCCTGAGCGGTGGGTGTTGCCTTCTGACGCACTTCCGGTGACGTCAGAGGGCGTGGCACATGCAAATAAGTTATGCTAATGAGCTCCTGCACCTCTTTTTCTACAAAATGACCCCTGCTCAGAATAACAGCACTGGGCGACTTCCAAAGATCATCAAGCAAGAGTGGTGGCAGAGTGGGGATTCGAACCTGGGTCCCCAGATCCCAGACTGACGCTGAGACTACCACACCACACTAGCCCTAGCTAGTATTGCCGCAAAGAGTTAAAACACCCATGCCTCATCATATTCTGGGATTTTGTTGTAAGAGTTAGTGATTTTGTTGTAAGAGTTGGTCGAGGCAAGCTGACCAAGCCAATTATGCTTTGAAACATATAGATAAATAGCATTTCTGAGCAAAAAAAACATCTTTTTTCGTTGTTTGCTGTTGACTCATGCCAGTGACACATCCTGAGCAATGGGGACAGCATTGAAATGACGTGTTGCAGGTATACTCCCCCCCCCCCGGGCAATCTTCCTATGCATTGTCTCAAAAACAACAAAATCTACAATACTGGGACTCTTATTTTGCTTGCCAGCAGCAGAACCAGTTCCTTCTTATATGGTTTTGAATCTGCCCGTGGATGTGGTTGGCTGCATTAGGCTCTGGATAACACGATGATTTCTTGAGCAAGGATATGCCACGAGATAGTTTCCAAATGTCTGTTATTTTAAAATCAACCCCATTTTAAACCCATATCTAATAGTTAACTGGATGATCTACCACTAGTCCACCTACATTGTCTTCTACCTGCTTGGGGAAGACACCCCAGATGTGTAGGAAAACCTTTTTATAAACAAACCAGGACAAAACCGGGACCTTATGCAGTTCCGCAGGGCCTGCAAGACGGAGCTCTTCCACCAGGCTTTCATGTAGGGGCCGCCGCTGCCACCACCACCAACGGTGGTAATGCCAACTGGATTCGGGATCACCCTGGGAAGTACAGCTTACCCTGCGTGACATCAACATCTACTGGATAGTGGCACCTCAACGGGGCCGGTTTGAAGATCGAAGACTACGGACTATCTTGCTGTGAAGCACTTATTTATTACTGTTGTTATGTATAATTGCTGCTATGATTTTACTGTTTTATGGATTTTATGTATGGGCTGTAGCCCTCTGTAAGCCGCCCTGAGCCCGCCTGCGGGGAGGGCGGGGTAAAAATACCTAAATAAATAAAATAAATAAATAAAACAAGTAGGAACCATCTTTGTAAAGGTCTGGGGAGGTCTGATTGTGTTCCACATGAGAATAAATGTTGAGAGTGGCTGAGGCAGTGAAAGGAAAAGAAAGAGAAGAAATCAGCCTGGTGAGGCGTGGGAGAGTTCATTGAATGCTCTGGGAAGAGAATTCGGGGGAGGCAACGATGTGACTGCACAGTTTCGGAATTGTTCCCCCCCCAAAAAAATGCTTACAGGCAGGCAGGAATCATTTCGTAGAAAAAGAGGTGCAGGAGCTCATTAGCATAACTCATTCGCGTAACTTCTTTGCATATGCCACACCAATGGACTGTTTTGGATGGCTAGCTATTTGGGGGGGGGGACGTGCAGATCTGTCCTCGCAGAGGAGGGAGAGCTTGTACCGGAATAAAACTTGGTCTTAAAGGTGCCACTGGACTGTTTTGGATTGCTAGCTATGGGGGTGTGTGTACAGATCTGTCCTCGCAGAGGAGGGAGAGCTTGTGCCTGAATAAAACCTGGTCTTAAAAGTGCCACTGGACTGTTTTGGATTGCTAGCTATGGGGGGGGGGGTGTACATATCTGGCCTCACAGAGGAAGGAGAGCTTGTACCTGAAGGTGGGCCGGGGAGGGGGGCTCTGCAACTTACCTGGCTGCTTCTTGTTCCTCATGGCCCGACTGAGGGCTGCTGGGAGCAGGGGGAGGGGCTTGCTGACTGGACTGTTTTGGACCGGGGGGCCGGGGGGGGCTCTGCAGCTTACCTGGCTGCTTCTTGCTCTGACTGAGGGCTGCTGGGAGCAGGGGGCAGGGCTTGTTGCATGTGCCCACCCCCCGGGCTCTTTACTGCCAGAGCTCCGCTCCTGTGCGCTCCGGCAGGAAATGACCCCTGCTTACAGGTTCCCAACTTACAGAGAAAAAAATAGAGATCTCCCATTATGTTTCGCTCTTACTGAAAAACCCTTCCTTGGGACTGTGATGTTACTGTGTTCTGCTTCTGACAGCAGAAAGGGTCTCCAAAATAAAGGTATCGACCCTGACTGTTCCCTGGAAGGCCAGATAATGAAACTGAAGCTCAAAGACTTTGGCCACCACCCAATGAGAAGGGAGCCCTCACTGGAGAAGAAGACCCTGATGCTGGGAAAGACTGAAGGTCAAAGAAGACGGGGACGGCAGAGGATGAGATGGTTAGGCAGTGTCATAGATAAGGGTATTATTGAGAATCATCCAAGTACAGGCATGACGACCTTCGGAACATAATGCCTCCAGTTCCCCCGCAACGAAAAGGTGACCTCAAGTTCATCAACGACTTCCTAACAGGGCTGCCAAGTTCAGCCTCTCCCAGCAGTTCAATAGCTGAGTAAGAAGTAAACGCATTTGAATGTCAAAACATGTTTTCATGTACTACAGCATACAGTGGGTGGCATCGCCTTCTGAGATATCGCTTTGTATTGGCAGGGCTGGTTGAGATCAGGTTCCGCACCACAGGTGCACAAGCTGGGACTCGCAAGGTGGGAATGCGTCAGAAAGGTCCCCCAGCCAACTCAAGCTGGAATTCAGGAGTCTGACTGGGCCAAGTTCTCCCTGCTGCCCTGCTTCTTATTTCCCTTCCAATGAATTCTCTCTCAACTGCTTTCCAAAGCCTGGGCCTCTTGGAGCATGCTCAGCTCAAGCCGGGGTGGGGGTGGGTGGGTGAGTGGGTGGGTTCTCTGGGTTCCTTTATGTCCTGCTGTATTAGTCATGCCGGCCACATGACCACGGAAACGTCTTTGGACAGCGCTGGCTCTTCGGC